TTGGATATTAAAATACATTGTTTTTTCACTTGCTTCCACTCTCACAATGAAAATAGGGCACGATGTTTCACCCTAGATACTTTTGACTATTTAAAGCTATCAAAAAAACATCAAAATAACACCTTTTTGATAGACAATTCAATGAGGCGGCGGCCTATGTTGCCGGCGCACACTGGGAATTGCACTGAGATTGTCTATTTTCAACGTGAATGGATTGGACTCACCAAATTCTGATAAAATGCCTTTCCAGCTCTTGTCCTGCCACTCTTGAGTGTTCACATCTTCTTTATATGTCTTTGGTTCTTCTTCGTTTTCTGATAGCAAACAATAAGCTACATATAACTCATAGTCACTCAAATTCTTTAGTCTTGTTACATTTCTACCTGATCTTGTTGTTCCGGCTCGTGACGTATCTTCATACTCACTTTGATCACTCTCTTCAGAATCGTGAATGTCTCGAATATTTTCTGCCTCATCTTGATTTTGTTTGTTTTCTTGATAACTTACTATTTCGTTTGTGTCAATAATTACATTACCTAATTACATAATTACATTCTATTTTATATTCCATAATAGTTTCGTCAAAGTGAACGTCTCTTAACGAATAACTTTTTCTCCATCTGACAGCCACAACCTGTAACCACCACCAGAGTATCCTACCATCACTGCTTTTTTTGACCTTGGCTCCAACTTATTTCCTTTGGACCAAATATTGTACCATGTTCTGCAGCCAAAAATTCTCAATTTGCTGATATCATTTCTACCATTCCATATTTGCGATGGGGTTTGACTTCTACGTAGTGCTGACGTTGGTGCTCTATTCAACTCGTACACAGAACACTTCAAAGCTTCTCCCCATAAATATTTGGGTATTACCGACTCGATTAGTTTAGTTCTAATCATATTAAGAAGTGTACGGTTCATCCTTTCTGCTTTGTCATTTGCTTGGGGGCTGTATGGCACTGTATATTCTATTTTTATGCTCTTTTGCAAAAATCTTTGAAGACGTTTGAATATTCTCCTCCATTATCTACTTTAAATCCTCTCACTTTCACATTGAAATTTTAATTATTAAAAAATTCAAATAGTCATCTAACATCGTCTGAAAGTATTTTCCGCCATCAAAAGTATTCGGTATAATTGGACCACACACATCGCTGTGTATCAGTTCTCCAATATATCTTGTGTGGTTCTCATTTGGTTGAAAAGGCGATCTGGTGGCTTTACCCTCTACACAAGGTGAACATATTTTATCCATTGATTTTAATTCTAACTGAGAGAGTGCATCTTTACTCGCATCTCTCATCCGTCTATGCCACAAGTCATCAACTGTAACATTATATTCTTCATTCGGTACTATAATTTCATCTAACATCAGAACATACAATCCATTCTTTCTTTCACCTATTAATTCAAAATTTCCTTGGATTGATGTTTCCTCCTTTTCGACTATTATTTTGTGTCTTCAAAAATGACATTAAATTCATTTTTGAAGCTGATATCAAATTGTGTTTCAAACCTGGCACAATAAGAGCTTCAATGGTAGTAATAACATCTTGGTTCTCACACTTGCCCCTTAACTTCCCAATCATATTTGTTTTCAAAATTTCCCCTTTTGGAATATGTATTTCAACATAATTTGGTAATCTCTCTATGTCAAACATATACTACTCTTAACTTTTCTTGCACAAAATGGTTACTGGCACCTGAATCTATGACATAATATATTTTGTGTTGATTTGCATTACCAATACTTGCTGCATACAGCACTATCCCTTCTTCTGCTGCATTAGCATTTAGTTTTGTGTTACTTATTCTATTTTCTTGTCTATAATGGTAATTTCTATCTCTATTTCCTCTAAATCCATCACGCCCTCTATAATTTGATCTATAACCTCCTCTTGCATTTTGACCGTGACTTTAATTATGATAGTTTTGTTCTTATTTTTCTTGGGACAATAAAGCTGTATGTGCAACAAACTTCCACACTTATAGCATCCTTTTGTAATATTCCGAGAAAATAGACTCATAAATCCCAATGTCAATTACTGTAAAAATCAAATAATTAATGAAACAGTCAAAAACTGAATTTCCGTATCTATAAATCTGTATTCGATAAATTAAAAAATAAAACAAATTATCGCAAAAAGTATTGCAACACCGGCCAAGTCAATCTAAATTAAATTCTTAAAAACTGATAAAAACGAGGTGATGTCATCCTAAAATCCGATCAATGAACTTTTTTAGCCAAGGCCTTTCCGCTTAACAAAAATTGAGTCGAATGAATTATGGCATTCTTGAACCCAAACGTGTTGACCTCAATAAATCAGATTATTGCGACATAATTAATTGATTTTAGACTAAAAATAAAATAAAATTCCAAGGAAATTGCATCATCTTAATTGTCATGGACAAAGTGATTTAGGAGCATCAGGGTTTATATAAATAGCGCGTTTTTAAGAAGGAGACAACAGTTGCCAGAAAACAGTTAAGTCGTCCATTTGAGTTAAAGTCTGTCCAGTTTCGCGAAAAGTTACCTTTATGGCGTTTTGCCTCGGGTATGATTTAACTTAGAAAATTACGAAAAATCGTGAATTGAAATTCGTTCAATAAATTATGTGCGTGCTAGCTAAATATTTTGAGTAATTAATTAAGTAATTTTACGTGTGTTTTATGGACAAAATGTAAGTACTTTATAGTGACAAGATTTATTTTGATGAACATGACTTTGTGTGATTAAACTCTGACTTTCATTGCATAAAAACAAACTGAGTGATTTTTACTAGAAATACTTTTGAATTTATAAACTTGAGGATTGTATTACTAGAAAAACTTTTGACTTTTATCTTAACAGTGGAACTTTATTGCCTTAAATAGTAATAACTCGAGTGTTTTATAAATGGAACATTATTGCAAAACTTAATTACCTTCAGATATAATAACATTTAATGGTGAAAAGAGAATATGAAGAGTACTTATAATGCATTTAACAATATACTATTTTGAGTTGGAATTATGAATTAAACAGTTGTATTTATTAGCTAGGCATAGGAATCCGAAAGTAGAATTGTTCTGATAAACTATTAACTGCAATAGGAAATTTTGAAAAGAAATTTGATGTCATAAAATAGAATTGTTTTCTTGAAATATTGGAAACTTGTTAAAAGGAAACTTATATTAGAATTTGTCCATGAAATAGAATTGTCTTAGAATATGGGAAAGCTGTTAAAAGAATTTATTGTTCATGAAGGGAATTTTGAATTAGGGAGTTTATTTTACAAGTAGAAGTTATTGTGAGATTTTATGAGAATAAATTAGTTGATAAACAAATAGGTAATTATTTTGGGTTTTCATAAGCAAAGGACTTAGAGATTTTGAGGAATTATTTGACTAGGTAAAGGATAGTTATTACGAATGATTCGGATGTAGTAAAATGAGTTGAATTATAATTTTGAGAAATAGTATGAAGATATTTGGCTGATTTTTTGGGTTTTATGTGGAGTAAAATATAATTTAGTACACCTCATTAGTTTGTTTCTCTCTCTTGCAAATAGACCCTCTTCCACAGATTTTAGATAGCAAGCTCCAAGCATATAAACACCATCAATAGACCGCTCGCCATTTACCATCTAACTATTTACATAAAGTACTTGGGGCGTTTTGCTACACTTTTGTACTAGCTTAAAAAAGTACATACTTCATTTTCGCTACTCCCAACTTTTGAGTTTAATTTAATTTCTACGTCCAAAAGCTTTGCCTTGACAAAATCCATTTTAACATCTGCAACTGTCTTCATTGCTGTGACAACTGTGTCATATTTAGATGGCTTTATTTTTGTTTTCTTTTATTCTAATTGAATTGCGCATGCTTTATGCCTAAGAATGATAGAGCTTTGCTAAAATTTGGCTTTTAAAAATGCGCGCGTTAAACACTGAAAAAGGATACCGGCAGTCCTTTCACTGCCGACAAGTAAAATCAGTTGCCAAAAACACGTCGCCCGCTTCGTGTGGTTCGAGAAAATAGACCCGCGGTTTTTCGTTTGCCGAGATCGGTTAAATCAAGACGGTTTTGTTGCACTCCTTCGCATTGGACCTAAACTTCCCGAATGAGCTGGCCAGCTGAGTGGAGTTTGGAAGTAGAACATGGTAAGGTGAAAAAATATCCTTTTCAGTTCCGATATCTTTCTATTTCAATTTAAAATCTTTCATCGATTACCATTCTATCAGCAACCTTTGGATTTTCCAGTTTCACTTTTCGCACAATTTACATTATGTTAGAACATATTTTGAAATAATAATTATCCACGCAGATATTTATTATTGAAAATCACATCAGTTTCACGAGTCGATTCGAATTGTCCGTTATGACACTCGATATCGAATACGACAGCTCCGTGTGATAAGTATCGAAAAATCGAAGAATAGAATCGCTATTTTGACAATTCGATACGAATTTCGACTTGACTCGTCTTGTAAAATAGAATTCGGCAGGTGATTATCGGCAACTAGGCATTTCATGCAAAAATCGACCTCATGGATGTTGGATCGCAAATTATTTGTTTACTGTTGAATCTGTCGGTTTTAGTTGTTAATCTGTGGTAAAATCAACTGTTTAGGTTTTACAGTCTGTCAAAGATGCAAAAAAGTAAATTTTCAACTGCCAATATTTCCGAAATAGTTGAAGATAAATATAGGACACTGTAAATGGAATAAGTCTAGAATTTTTCGCAGAATTCAGAAATCTCATACTATACAGGGTGTTACACTATTTTTTTTTTTTCAAACTTTCTGCAACCCCCTGTATTAACAAAACTATGTTTTCTGAGAACTATTCCTTAGTCACTACACCTTTCCTATACACAGTGGCACAAAAAAATTAAGGGGTGTGGGAAAATATAAAAAATGACCCACAAGGCCTAGAAATATTCCGAGATTATTACATTGGAGCCAGCGGAAAACTCCGGGTTCTCAACACTTGGCAATTTCAAAATAAAACTAAAATATGTTAGAGCACTGAATGCTTTATTAAGCACAACACTATTTGAATGTTACAAATGTTGATTGAGAAACACTTAGTTTGGGTTTGAATATGAGACGAATTATTATTAGGTCAAATAAAGATTGTTACAAAAATGTATTCTTTTTCAGGAATTAATGGCAAACACATCGTCCTCAAAATTAAAATATTTCTCCAGAGTACATAATGATGGAAATAATTTAATCTTTGAATGCGATTGAAATCATGTAGGTTGGTATACAAAAATATATATTAGGTATTTATGTAAATGATTTAAATATGAAACATAATATACCTAATTATTGAACCATTATGAAACATTTATTTATTAAGGATACCTATTTTTATTTTATTTTATTTTTTTTTTGTTGAAAAATACACCAAGTATATACGACAATTTGAAAGTTCCTTTACATAGTTAACATCTATAAAATTTCAATACAATTCCATTTATTTTATAGATTTTCAAATAACATTTTGACATCTAATTTTACTAACATTATTACTTAATTCATGGCAGTTTTAATTTCAAAATCCACGTTATTTTATACAGAAAGAAAATCCAGCAATTTCAGTGCCCCTAAAATAATACAAAGAGAAAGCGATTTTTTTTTTCAATTATTGTAATAATAATATTTAAGTCAACTCATTTCAACGTGAAATTATAAACATTAAAATCTTATACAGTCACACTTTTATTTACAAAGTACACCTAAACCTAGAAGGCGAAATCTTGGGGTGTCTGTTCCGTAATTAAATCAGTTTGTGATTTATTTATGAACAAACTTTATAAAGTTAAATATTTCAAGATCACAACCATGTTCATCATGGCTGTTACTGAAATACATTGATTATTCTAGAATGAAGTGCATGGAATGTCAATTCAAAAGCATCAAATATTTTTCTTAAAATTATACTTACATAAATTTTCACAGAATAAGGAGCAGTGCCTACATATACGAACATGTAACAGAAATATCTGATAATTTTTAGTGAATGTAGAAGATTGTGTTATACTAACTAAATATTTAGAAGATTCCATTTTTATTTAGAAACAATTATTCAGCACTACTGTAACCCTTTTCTGTATACACAATATATAATTTCAACAATTATTATTATATTTTCAGTCCATTTAAAGGATTTTCAAAGGCATGATAAATTGTCCATTTAATGAAATTCCATATTATTGATAAAAATAAAAATAAATATTTGGTAATATCATCAACACACATTAGGTCATCATCTTCATAGTAATACATAGGTATTTTTAATATTCATGTTTTATAACTTAGAAATTATTGGTCACAAATACATCACACATAAATATCAACATGTTCAATTTTTGTTTTGATTCAAAATAAATAAAAACATTTCGCATATTTCGAGCTCTTATTATCTAAATTAGTTGCAGTTCAATTCTTCAGAATAAATTTCCAGTTTAATTAATGAGAAGGTTTCCTTATGATTAGTTAAGCTTTTGCAAGAAGTGACGCATGATTTATAAAAAAAAATGTACAGTTTAGGTTAGTTGCTAGAGTTACCAACTTCGGGCCTGTAGAACTTTTTGGTAACTCTTTGACTAGCATGTTTTTATACACTTATTAGGCCTTTTTTATACTGTACCTGCTGGGTGGTTTCATTGACAAGGGTTTTAGTGTCATACATTGCTCATTTCACCCTGTATATTTTATTACGATTGGTTCAAATCAAAAGGAGAAATTGATAATAAAAAAGAAGTTTAAAATGCAAAACCTAATTTCCTCGAACACATCAAAGTTAAGTTAATTTTTACCATCAATTTCAATAAACAAAATCAATAATTGAATTATTCGAAAATAAATTTCAAAAGGAACGTTAACAAAGGCAAAAGTATTGTGGCCGTGGTGTGAGTAGAGCCGCTCACTCGAATGTCGCCCTTTTTCAAAAAGGGCATATCGATGACGTGGATGATCCCGTTGGTGCATTCGACGTTGGGACGGAATACCGGGATCCTCAATTCTTCCCAATGGATAATGTAAGCTATAACACATAAATAAAAATAAAAAGTGCTAATATTGATGATAAATATTATAGTTTTTAAGCGAAAGTATTTAAAATACAGCCATAAGGACCTTATAAATGCATAGTGATTGCTGTCCGAATAGAATTACTGGCAACCAAGTTTAGCTCAGCAATGTTGCCAAACACCAGAGATTAATTGATTGAGGAATTATTGAGTCTTTTTTTTTGTAAATTAACTTAATGGCGAATGTAAGAATCATCATCAAGGCAGGTTGCATAGCCATTTTTCCAATCGCCAGCCTCTTCTGTCATTCCCATATTCTTCTAGACATCTTTTTAATTTTTCTTTTTACTCTAAAATTCAACTTGATGAATATGGAAAACTTGAGCGGAGTTCTGAAAATTTCCAACCTATCCTTAAGCGATTTCAACCAACCTTCTCTTCCCATTTTAACACAATTATAGGATGTGCATCGCTTTTGACAAACACAGGAGGTAAGTTGTACACAGTGTTTTGACACTTCTGGAATTGTTGCCCACATAAGTTGGTATGATCCTCCTGAGTTAGTATCCCTCCCCAGTTAGTTGGCGAAGGTATTGTGTATCGAGGCTGTTGTTCCAGATTCTAACTCGTAGAGCAGCTTGTTTGATGTGTTTTTCAAAGCATCCGATGTAGTAGGAATATTTTCGATTGCCCGATTCATTCTTGTAAGTAACACTCGTCTGCATTCATTGATGTTCTGAAGATCTGATGCTCGATCATAAGGTAGAATAAAAAAACGCTGCAACATATCATGACATTCATGATCAATATCAGAGGTGCCTGTAAATAGCCGCTGCCATACACAATCAATTTCACGAAATGATGTGACACTCGCAAAGCAAAATTTAAAACAAAATGCAATTTGAAAAATCATATATCAACATACTCGGATGAGAAGAATTTTAAATGCAACATATGCGAGGCTAAATTGAAAACCAAGAGTGCTTTAAGAAAACATTTGATGTTACACTCGGATATTTCTCCTTTTGAATGTGACACTTGCAAAGGAAAATTCAAACGTAAAAGTAGTTCGAAAAGGCACCTATTAACACACTCGATCTTTTTGAATGTGACACTTGCAAAGCAAAATTTAAACTAAGAGGCAATTTGAAAAATCACATATCAACATATTCGGATGAGAAGAATTTTAAATACAACATATGCGAGGCTAATTTAAAAACCAAGAGTGCCTTAAGAAAACATTTAATGAGACACTCGGATATTTCTCCTTTTGAATGTGACACTTGCAAAGGACAATTCAAACGTAAAAGTAGTTTGAAAAGGCGCATATTAAAACACTCGAATTTTTATCCTTTTAAATGTGACACTTGCAAAGCAAAATTTAAACTAAAAGGCAATTTGAAAATTCACATATCAACATACTCGGATGAGAAGAATTTTAAATGCAACATAATGCGAGGCTAAATTAAATACCAAGAGTGCTTCAAGAAAACATTTGATGATACACTCGGATATTTCTCCTTTTGAATGTGACACTTTCAAAGGAAAATTCAAACGTAAAAGTAGTTTGAAAAGGCACATATTAAAACACTCGGATTTTTATCCTTTTGAATGTGACATTTGCAAAGCAAAATTTAAACTAGAAGGCAATTTGAAAAATCACCTATCAACATACTCGGATGAGAAGAATTTTGAATGCAACATATGCGAGGCTAAATTAAATACCAAGAGTGCTTTAAGAAAACATTTAATGATACACTCGGATATTTCTCCTTTTGAATGTGACACCTGCAAAGGAAAATTCAAACGTAAAAGTAGTTTGAAAAGGCACATATTAAAACACTCGGATTTTTATCCTTTTGAATGTGATACTTGCAAAGCAAAATTTAAACTAAAAGGCAATTTGAAAATTCACATATCAACATACTCGGATGAGAAGAATTTTGAATGCAACATATGCGAGGCTAAATTAAATACCAAGAGTGCTTTAAGAAAACATTTAATGATACACTCGGATATTTCTCCTTTTGAATGTGACACCTGCAAAGGAAAATTCAAACGTAAAAGTAGTTTGAAAAGGCACATATTAAAACACTCGGATTTTAATCCTTTTGAATGTGACACTTGCAACGCAAAATTTAAACTAAAAGGCAATTTGAAAAATCACATATCAACATACTCGGATGAGAAGAATTTTGAATGCAACATATGCGAGGCTAAATTAAATACCAAGAGTGCTTTAAGAAAACATTTAATGATACACTCGGATATTTCTCCTTTTGAATGTGACACCTGCAAAGGAAAATTCAAACGTAAAAGTAGTTTGAAAAGGCACATATTAAAACACTCGGATTTTTATCCTTTTGAATGTGATACTTGCAAAGCAAAATTTAAACTAAAAGGCAATTTGAAAATTCACATATCAACATACTCGGATGAGAAGAATTTTGAATGCAACATATGCGAGGCTAAATTAAATACCAAGAGTGCTTTAAGAAAACATTTAATGATACACTCGGATATTTCTCCTTTTGAATGTGACACCTGCAAAGGAAAATTCAAACGTAAAAGTAGTTTGAAAAGGCACATATTAAAACACTCGGATTTTTATCCTTTTGAATGTGATACTTGCAAAGCAAAATTTAAACTAAAAGGCAATTTGAAAATTCACATATCAACATACTCGGATGAGAAGAATTTTGAATGCAACATATGCGAGGCTAAATTAAATACCAAGAGTGCTTTAAGAAAACATTTAATGATACACTCGGATATTTCTCCTTTTGAATGTGACACCTGCAAAGGAAAATTCAAACGTAAAAGTAGTTTGAAAAGGCACATATTAAAACACTCGGATTTTTATCCTTTTGAATGTGATACTTGCAAAGCAAAATTTAAACTAAAAGGCAATTTGAAAAATCACATATCAATATACTCGAATGTGAAGAATTTCAAATGCAACATATGCGAGGCTAAATTAAATACCAAGAGTGCTTTAAGAAAACATTTAATGATACACTCGGATATTTCTTCTTTTGAATGTGACACCTGCAAAGGAAAATTCAAACGTAAAAGTAGTTTGAAAAGGCACATATTAAAACACTCGGATTTTTATCCTTTTGAATGTGATACTTGCAAAGCAAAATTTAAACTAAAAGGCAATTTGAAAAATCACATATCAATATACTCGAATGTGAAGAATTTCAAATGCAACATATGCGAGGCTAAATTAAATACCAAGAGTGCTTTAAGAAAACATTTAATGATACACTCGGATATTTCTTCTTTTGAATGTGACACCTGCAAAGGAAAATTCAAACGTAAAAGTAGTTTGAAAAGGCACATATTAAAACACTCGGATTTTTATCCTTTTGAATGTGATACTTGCAAAGCAAAATTTAAAATAAAAGGCAATTTGAAAAATCACATATCAATATACTCGAATGTGAAGAATTTCAAATGCAACATAAGCGAGGCTAAATTAAATACCAAGAGTGCTTTAAGAAAACATTTAATGATACACTCGGATATTTCTTCTTTTGAATGTGACACCTGCAAAGGAAAATTCAAACGTAAAAGTTGTTTGAAAAGGCACATATTAAAACACTCGGATTTTTATCCTTTTGGATGTGATACTTGCAAAGCAAAATTTAAACTAAAAGGCAATTTGAAAAATCACATATCAATATACTCGAATGTGAAGAATTTCAAATGCAACATATGCGAGGCTAAATTAAATACCAAGAGTGCTTTAAGAAAACATTTAATGATACACTCGGATATTTCTTCTTTTGAATGTGACACCTGCAAAGGAAAATTCAAACGTAAAAGTAGTTTGAAAAGGCACATATTAAAACACTCGGATTTTTATCCTTTTGAATGTGATACTTGCAAAGCAAAATTTAAACTAAAAGGCAATTTGAAAATTCACATATCAACATACTCGGATGAGAAGCATTTTAAATGCAACATATGCGAGGCTAAACAAAGAGTGCTTTGAGAAAATATACTCCTGGACAAAATTATCGCACCACTGCTTATGGTGTTTATGTGCAGTAGTGGTGCGATAATTTTGTCAAGGAGTATATTTAATGATACACTCGGATATTTCTCCTTTTGAATGTGACACTTGCAAAGGAAAATTCAAACGTAAAAGTAGTTTGAAAAGGCACATATTAAAACTCTCGGAATTTTATCCTTTTGAATGTGACACTTGCAAAGCAAAATTTAAACAAAAAGGCAATTTGAAAAATCACATACATATTAACATACTCGGATGAGAAGAATTTTAAATGCAACATATGCGAGGCTAAATTAAAAACCAAGAGTGCTTTAAGAAAACATTTAATGATACACTAGGATATTTCTCCTTTTGAATGTGACCCTTGCAAAGGAAATTTCAAACGTAAAAGTAGTTTGAAAAGGCATAAATTAACACACTCGGATTTTGATCTTTTTGAATGTGACACTTGCAAAGCAAAATTTAAACTAAAAGGCAATTTGAAAAATCACATATCAACGTACTCGGATGAGAAGAATTTTAAATGCAACATATGCGAGGCTAAATTAAAAACCAAGACTGCTTTAAGAAAACATTTAATGATACACTCGGATATATCTCCTTTTGAATGTGATACTTGCAAAGGAAAATTCAAACGTAAAAGTAGTTCGAAAAGGCACATATTAACACACTCGGATTTTTATCTTTTTGAATGTGACACTTGCAAAGCAAAATTTAAACTAAAAGGCAATTTGAAAAATCATATCTGAACATACTCGGATGAGAAGAATTTTAAATGCAACATATGCGAGGCTAAATTAAAAACCAAGAGTGCTTTAAGAAAAACATTTAATGATACACTCGGATATTTCTCCTTAAGGCGTCCAGACCTTATACCGCGTTCACGGTGCCAAATCGTGGACTCTTTCAGTTCAAGGTTACCTTTCGGACTTCATAATGCGCCCGCTACGTGGCAAAGACTTATCGGCAATGTTCTGGGAGCGGATTTGGAGCCACACGTCTTTGTGTATTTGGATGATATTTTCGTGGTAGCGCAAGATTTTGAGACGCATTTGAAAGTTCTGGAAGAAGTTTTTAAAAGACTTTAAGAGGCCAACTTGACAGTGACCAGGGCAAAGTGCCAGTGTGGTAAGCCGCAAATAAAGTAATTGGACAAGTATGGTTTGCACGCCGATCCTGACAAAATTAAGGCTATGTTGGAGATATCATCTCCTAGGAACACTACGGAAGTTAGACGGGTCGTGGGAACATTCTCATGGTATCGCCGGTTTATCCAGGATTTTTCGACGGTCGTAGTTCCTATCATCGCCCTGTTACGGAATCCAAAAATTTCGACTGGTCAGCTGATTGTGAAGTGGCGTTTCAGAGAATAAAGGAATGCCTGGCGGCGGCACCCGTGCTAAGTTGTCCAGATTACTCGTTACCCTTTGTCGTCCAATGCGATGCGTCCGGCTATGGAAAGGGTGCAGTGTTAACACAGGCTTACCAAAATGGTTCAGAGAGGGTAGTCAATTTAGCGTCACATCTACTCAGGATTTATCTAGAAAAACCGGAAGCCCAACTTGAATAGAATTCTCCAAATCAAACGACACGCAGACAATTGCACTCTTAGAATCTGGCCGAGCCTTCGGGGCAATTTTTCAACAATAATTTCAGATTAATAACCTCTCTTTTATTAGAGACAGACTCGTGGCCATTTTCCTAAAAAATCCGGTTATCAAAAGTAGTCCAAATGAAAATGCAGAGAAATCTGAATACAGTTAACAAGGGCAATGAAGTGAGTTCAATCATTCAGCGATTGCCAACTATAGAAAAAAAGTTCAGTTTATTGGTTGGCAACATTGCTGCATCAAATATGGCGGCCAAACATCATCAGCACATTTTTAAATGGTCCGATTTACCACAAGCTTATTTCAGGCCAACTACACAATACATACCTGAGCCGTGATTGCGCTTTAAACCTAAAATCAATATTTGTTTATAATAAAACCAGTGTGATGCTTGTTAAATATAAAAGTGCATTGGTGTGGATTTGAAAATAAAACAAATCAAACGAAAAATAAATAAACATTAATCAGTGTGCGTGAAGGTTAGTTATGAGGCTGGTGCAATAATAAAGGCCAGTGAGTCTTAACATTCAGTCAAGACATGTTTTTCGAACAAACATAAAACTTACTTGCGTTACCGAATTCTGAATTAGTTGAGTTGTTTTCTGGATTATGGAAAACAAAAATTTGTTTAAATTATAATAAAAGAATGATGAATTAAAATAAAATATGTTGTGCAAACCAATAAAAATTGATAAACGATTTGGGACCAATATTCAACATATCAAAGTTTTTGGCAATAACAATTTTACCCTTCAAAACATCAAATTCGAATATGAGTTTCTATTATACAACTTAAAACTTTTGAATGTTGAATTTATTATTCTTAAGATTTGCAATGTTAAATATTGTTCCCTGACACCAAAAAGCGTTAGGTACACACTTACTATTATCCATTCTTTCTTCGACAAATATCTTCAAGGATCCTCTCAAAGTCGGTAACTCGACAGCAGGTGGCTCGTGAATGTTTGTCCGATTAGTCTGATTGATTTCCCTACTTTTGGTCATTTGTTTAATTCTTTCCATTGTGAAAACATCGTCAGATATGACCAAGTGTCTTTGAAGAGTTGTGATTGCCTGGAAAATCCAATCAATACATACATACCCAATCTGGATAATATTTATTGTACTTACATGATAAGAAAATTCAGGCATGAATAGTTTTTTAATTGCAGAAGGCATCACTACTCTAGCATTTTGCCAGGCCCTATTGCTCGGGACAAAGTAAGTGAACTTTTTGTTGGTGTCGTTCAGTTGTGAGTTGAACTGTTGCATTTTTCCCATTTCGAAGGAATCCCTGTAAAGATAAAAATTTTAAAAATTGAATACACGAAATGCGAGAGTTTGTCAAAAAAGGCTTTATATATGTATGGTGAAATGTTATATAACTGTAATGACCCGGGAATAATAGATCCGTAATTTACAATGTCTTAAGAGTAAAAATTATATGTAATCAAATAATCAAAAATTGAATTTCCAGTATTTCACATCAGTGTTGACTCCAAATTAATTAAAATATTTAAAATACGTTCAATTTCCAATAGCCAGTCATCAGGCGTGTGTCATCAAGTTAGTTGAACTCATAAATTAAAACCCGGAAAAAATAAAATACAAGGTTGGGTACCTAATTAAATTCGGTCCCAAAATGACAGAAATTTCAAAAGATCGTATAATTTATTGCCGGCACGAGTGTCGAATGCGGTTTTTCCTTGAATTAAAGTGTCCTCTACATTCATTTCCATTTCATTGACCCTAAATAATCATAAAATTTCGACACAGATTTCGTCATTATCCGAATGAGCAAATTATATTTTTTGGAATAATATCTAGGTCGGCCAATAGAATTGAATTTACAGATGGTCAACGACCGCCCATATTGTTGGATGTGGTGGGTAATTGATAGTATAAAAAGGGCGATCATTCAAGTAGAAATAATCAGCATCAATCAATTATCGAGAATTAGACTCAAGACTCAATAATTAGTGGTATTCAGAAGTGGCAAATTATCTCAAGTTTAAAAAAAAATCGGGCCTTGGGAAATGTAAAAATTACAGTAAAACACCCGAATTAAGAGAGAAGTAAACCTATTAGTTTTTATGTGCGTGCTCTAGCTATTTTGAGTAAATAATAATTAGAATAATTAAGTGACTTTTAAGGGCAATAATTTAAATGTAAGTACTCTAGTGACAAGTTTTAATTTTGACTTTATCAATTATTTATATGACTATGATGTGAATTGACTATGAAACTTTATTGCATAAATATTATTAACTTGAGTGAATATAAACTATGAAACCTCATTGCATAAATATTATTTACTTGAGTGAATTGACTTAGAATATTTTACTGAAGAGTTTGTAACGTAGTAGGGCTATACAGGGTGGCTAAATGAAAACGAAACAGAGGTGATTTTGGGCTCCCCAAGAAAAAACCCTCGTACCCGTGGATTTTTGATTTAAGGGGGAACCATTTTTTTGGTATTTCCACCCCCTGGGGGCAAAGCCTTTGCGGGGATGACGGGGCCCCTTGTCCTCGTGAAATTTCAAAATCCATCTAAAAATCTTGCAATATTTTTTTTTTTAGGTTTATCGTAAAGAATGAATATCTAGAAGATCCAGATATAGAAGTGTCGGAAATCGAGCTAATAGATCCAATTGGAGGAATATCTATAAAAGAAAAGGAATATTTGAATGATGCCAATTCATCAGGATCAGATTTTGTTGGGAAATTTCCATGTTATAATGCTTACAATGTTTAAAAAAAAAAAATTTGAAATATCATTTGATATCACATTCGAATATTTTTGTACTTTTGAATGTAACACTTGCGAAACGAAAGGACCCCGCAATATTTAAACGGAAATTGGTTACCCATGATATTTGGATGAAATTCAAATATGTTATTAAAAATGCCGTAAGCAACATTTTTTACCATGGGCACAACCTTGTATATATGACAGGTGAGGCGGTATCGGCTGTCAAATATTGGAATTTCATATTCAAAAGCAGGGTAACTATGGCAGATTTTGATGAAGCAAGTATCGATATATATGATAAGTCAACAAAGGAAAATCGAAAAATGTCAACCATTTTGACATCTGTCAAAACCCTGCCAAACAGCAGCACTCATATTTTTCAGTTTTCAATATTTCATGATGTGTCATTTGACAGTTTTAGTCTATGTCAATTCTGAGTTGAAAACTTGGAAAAAAAAATGACAGAACTATCAAAACCTGTCATTCATTTTAGTAGGAAAAAAGATTCATATCTGGTTCTTTCTTGTTTTAGGGTAGTTTATTGGTAATAAAACATTAAGCTCATAGACATCACATTTTGACAGCTGTCAAAATTAGAAACCTGTGTGTAAGTTTTTTTATGCTTCATAATAAATAAGCATAACTTAAATAATTGGAACAGAACTAGAGTTCAGTTTTTTTTTCTTCAATTAAAGCTAATGTCAGATTCTGACAGCTGTCAAAATTTGATGTCTATAAGTTTTGTTTAATGATTTATCACCAATAAACTACCTTCAAACGAAAAAGGGCCAGATTGGATTTTTTTTTTGTTACTAAAACAAATGACAAGTTTCGACATGAAATGAAATGTAATTTTTTATTTTTTTTTCAATTTCTGAACTGAGTGTTTATATAGGTTGAAACTGTCAAATGACACGACATGAAATATTGAAAACTGAACAATATGAGTGCTGCCGTTTGGCAGGGTTTTAACAGATGTCAAAATGGTTGACATTTTTCGATTTTCCTTGGTTGACTTATTGGGAATTGATAATTGCTTCATCAAAATCTGCCATAGTTACCCTGATTTTGAATATTAAATCCCAATATTTGACAACTGATACCGCCTCACCTGTCATATATTACAAGGTTTTTTTTTTGCTTACGGCATTTCCAATAACATATTTAAATTTCATCCAAATACCCCGGCTAACCAATTTTCCGTTTAAATATTGCGAGGTCCTTTTTCAATACCGTGGGAAAGTCTCTAGATCGGCGGTGCCTTTGGTCTGAAATTTCGGGGATTTGACCCGGGCCAACCCCAAATTTTTCGACGTCATGATGTTATCCCTTTACAGGATGCTGTAATGGTTAATAAGGAAAATTCGTGAATCATCATGGCGCCGACGTTTAATGTGGAAACAAACAGGGGTACCATGTTTCACGGTTATTTTTACTTATAACTGATAAGCGTTTCCATTCTAGCAAAAACAACAAGCTAAGACTGGCATTTATATTTTGTTGATGATAAACATGCATGTATTTTTTTACTGCCGAGTGGAGAATTTCCCTGATAACATAACCTCAAATTTAAAAGATTTTCGAATACTGCCCATGCCCTGGATCTATAGAGATTAACTTCTTTCCTTGAGATTTACCACTATTTCCCTAAGGTTTTCCCCGAATTCCTCAAGAATTTCTTCTTGATTTCTCCTAGTTTTACACCAGATTTCCTTTCCCTGAAAGGTAACTCGCAAGTCAGTTTTTGTGCACCAGGAAAATTTCTCCTGATTATTAGTAAGATTGCCCAAGACTTTCAGAGTTCCCCTAATAACAACCTCAAATTATGAAGATTTTCGAAAACTGCGAATGCGTTGGATTTAGAGATTAACTGATTTTCTTAAGCTTCTCCATAAATTCCTTAAGATTTCGCCCGAGATCCTTGAGATTCCCTTATAATTTTCATTGATTGCCTTAGATTTATTCGGATTTCTCCTAATTTGTACATTAGATATCCCTTGCGGTTTACCCCTGACTCACAAGTCAGTTTTTGTACACCAAATTATAGTTTTAGAAGAAACCAATAATTATTTCCCCAGATTTCTTTTAACTACCAGTAAGATTGCCCAAGAGTTTCCCTACAAGAGGATATCTGAAGCAAATTGAGTTAAAACTCTTAGACAAAAAGACGTAATTTTCCTATTCCTGGCTCTCATATTTTGACTATTTTTTTGAATTTTCTTTCTTTGAAGAAGCTCAGAAGATAATTAAGATTCAAGAGACAGGAATTGACAAAAATCGAGACAAAGAAATTGAGAAATGAAGAGGACATTTGAGGCATTTGACATTTGTTGGACAGAAAGATAGTTTTTCTATTCCTGGTTCTCATATTTTATCTGTTTTTGTAAATTTTCTTTATTTAAAGGAGTTTAGAAGATATTGAAGATTCAAGAGCCAGGAATAGGCAAAAATTGATTCAATGAAATTGAGAAATAAAGAGGAAATTTAAAGCAAATTGAGGAAAAACTGTTAGACAAAAAGACGTAATTTTCCTATTCTTGTCTCTCTTTTTTGACTATTTTTCTGAATTTTTTTTCTTTGAAGAAGCTTAGAATGTATTGAAGATTCAAGAGTTAGAAATAGACAAAAGTTGAGACAAAGAAATTGAGAAATACCCAGATGGCACAAACATATTGCAGGAATACTCATAGGAATATAAAAATATCCGATGCATATGCCATGAAGATCTTTTCAAGTGACAGGAATATCCCAGGCACATGCTTAAGTCACCATTAATGGGGGCACCTGAGCCTGAGAAAGGACCCCGCAATATTTAAACGGAAATTGGTTACCCGTGATATTTGGATGAAATTGAAATATGTTATTATTATGCAACATTTTTACCATGGGCGCAACCTTGTATATATGACAGGTGAGGCGGTATCGGCTGTCAAATATTGGAATTTCATATTCAATTCAAAAGCAGGGTAACTATGGCAGATTTTGAATGTGACATTTGCAAAGCAAAATTCAAACGAAAAGACTCTTTGAATGTGCACATGTTAACACACTCGGATATCCATCCTTTTGGATGTGACACTTGCAATGTAAAATTTAAACAAAAAAGCCTTTTGAGATTGCACATGGTAACACACTCGGATATTCATCCTTCTGAATATGACACTTGTAAAGCAAAATTTGAAAGAAAGAGCGATTTGAAGTGACACATGTTAAAATACTCGGATATTCATCCTTTTGAATGTGACACTTGCAAAGTAAAATTCAAACAAAGATACTTTTTGAAGAAGCACATGTTAACACACTCGGATATTCATCTTTTTGAATGTGACACTTGCAAAGAAAAATTTAAATGGAAACACGATTTGAAGAGGCATATATCACATCGTCACACTCGGATGAGATAAATTTAAAATGCAACATATGCAACCAGGGATAATTTGTGTGGTACCTAGTGTAAATTTCAATGTAGGCAGTTGCTTCGCTTAATTTAAACGTGAAAAAAATGCGGATGAACGAGTGTTTCAATATAAATTTTGTAGATGCAAAACTATATTGAATATTCTCCAAGCTTTTATCATAATGGGAAAATTTTTGTGGACTGGCAATGCTGTCCCATCTATGAGCTCCTAAGTCTTTTCAAGTGTTACAGCTGTCAGGGATATCACCATAAAAGTGCTTATTGTGGAAAAAAAAAGCTTGTGCAAATTGTGCAATTGTGTCAATGCTACCAAAAAGTGTATCAGCTGTGTTTCTGCGAACCAACAATACACTGCTGGATATGATGTGAACCACTCAGCATTTGACCTTAGCTGTCCATCAAGACTGTACTACATAAAAAAATTTAGAAGTAGGGTTGATTACGAGATCATCTAATGGTTCAACTACAACTTGATATTATGAACGACATTGAAGAGGAAGTGATACATACAGAACAGCTGGTAAATGAAAATGAATTGCATAAATTTAATAAATTGAGTGATAAGGTATTAAATTTGTTGCACCTTAACATCAGAAGTGCAAATATGAACTTTGATAATTTTATTCTTCTAATTAAGACATATAATCTGTATTTTGTTGATGATTTTGTTCTGAGTAAAGCTTTTTGAGTAACATGTATTATGAATTGTAATATTCAAAATTTTAAATGGAATGAGGGGTCGAGTGATACTTTGTTTTGAAGTTAGTTTTATATAGATTATAACCCCCGAGTCATCGCTAATACCTACCTAGCCATTACAGGGGCTAATTAAAGTAACAAAAACATGTTGGAATATTTTGTATTCAAAAAAATGCTTTAAAAACAAAATCTAACGGGCTTAAATCTGGAGAACGCGGGAGCAATAGCTCCTCTCCTTCGAATCCATTGTCCTGGAAACGATTGGTCCAAATATTGACGAATCACTGCAGCATAGTGGGTATCACTTGACCCTTCATTCCATTTAAAATTTTGGGGGCGCTTGTCATCACCGCTAGGGCTTTGCCCCCCAGAAGGTAAAAATGCCAAAAAAATGGCTCCCCCTCAAATCAAAAATCGACGGTTATGAGGGTTTTTTTCTTAAATGTCCTGAAGAGCTCAAGATCACCTCTTTTTCGTTTTCAATTAGCCACCCTGTATGAAGTACACAGTAGCTGCCTAAGGAAATAATTACCATCAAATACGACCGCTCGCAATTTACCATCTAACCTAAATAATACAGTGCTTGGCGCGGATGCTACAAAACTATGATTCCAAACAATGTATCAAAAAATATTTTCTTACTTGAGCATAGGATCAGTGCTGACTTTTTCCAAAATAGTCGTATAAGGAACTCCCAAAACCCTATCGATAATATGGATAATTCCATTTTTAGCAGCCAAATCGGGTTGAATAACTGTAGCATTAACGCCACCCCCTTCCACGGTCATTGTCCTGTTATTTCCTTCGGTATGGACATTGAAATAAAGATTTTTCCCCTTCACCAGCGTCGGTACTTGATAGATCTGAAAAATTAATTATCTAGTTAACCTTTTCATCATCAATCTGAGAAGGTTTTCTCGTTCATTTATGTTTCATTGAAAGCCGTATAAAATAAAGTGGAAAAAGGATAACGAACTAAAAAGGAAAAAGCGAAACGAGAGTGGCCAACCAGGCAGAAAAAGCTATGTTTGATGTTCGAGGTTTTCCTTTTTTCCCAAGGCGATTTGTACGTTTTAATCTGGTCTGTTTACTGAACTTGTTTTGCATCGAAAATGGCTTTCGTTGCAAAGCTTTATAAAAGGTAAAAATTTCAGATTAAAAAAAATTTATATATTTAATAAGGAAAAATGTTGAAAAATATCTGCAAGTCCTTTTTTTTTAGCTTCTTGTTCTTCTTTATTAGGCTTAAAAAGTTTGAAACAACTTTTAAAAGCTTTTGAAAGATTGTTTGAAGTTACAAAGTTTTCAATTAGGAGTCAATGGTAAAAGTTTATGGATAGTGAAAATGAAAAAAGGGCGGGTAGAAGTTCATTCGAGATGCGAGAATTTACAAAGTTAAAAAATATCTGAATCAGCAAATAACGAATACTAGTTTGGATATCTCTCTTATATAGGTATTTTTTTCAATAACTAAACCACCTTGTACCTTATGTTCATTTTCCTTCATAACAGTCTCAATGTAAAGCCGATTATCTACCACAACGTGCATCTGTAAAATCTCCAAAAACTTCTGTTTGTCCCGTTTAATGCTTCTGACAATGTGACTGTCTAGTGCCGAATTGCACGGAGCAAACAATGTCACTTCTTGGGATTTTTCAATGGTCCTCAGGAAACTGGCTCCTTCTGGCCCTAAGTCGGCTAGTTCGTTGTAAAAGTTGTTCAAGATGCCACCATCTTTTTCCTAAATGTTAAAAGAAGAAATTTGATTAGGAGTTTAAAAGGATTTGAGTAGTTTACAAGTCGGTAAAGTATTTATCTACAATAATTTTGTACAATGTTAGCTTTGGTACATAGCATTTAAATACAAGTCGCCATTGGTGGCTGATTAAATTCTACTATTGTGGTTTAAAATGTGCTGGATTGATATGCATACATTTAAAAAAGTTAGTGGAACAATTAGAGATGTCACAGATAACGTTATATCCAGCAGGAGAAGATTTTTAGAGATATACCTACATATTATTATTTGTTGTTTGTGAAGTTTATTGACCCATCAAGTTAGAAAAATATGACAAATCCAGAAACAATTTAACGTGAATATGCCTTTGAAAAGGATTCTGACAGGGGCAAAAATTCAATTATCCATTTCCTCAAGAAAGGAAAAAAAGGCAATCAATGTTGCCACAAACAATATCCGAACTCCGAATATTAAAATCCAATAAACGGAATTTTATGATGTCTGAGACGTAAGTCTAGCTAAAAGGAAATTTATGCATTGAGAAATGGAAAAATATTGAACCACAATAACAAACTTGGGAGTAAAAGCTATTAGGGTACCTACATAGGGGAAGAGAAGTGTCCCATCAGTTAAATGAAATCTACATCCTCCAGATAAATTTACAAAATCTCTCAGATTGACATGATAATGACATTCTCAATCATAAAGAGCAGAAAAAAATGAACACATTTCAAAATCAATAGGGGTGATTGCAATATCAAAGTAGTGACCACAGACTATTAAGGCAATGATGAAGATAGATACTAAAGCTGCAGGAATGCACATATTGACAGAGAATCAGGAAAAGTACCAGAAGAAGTTTAAGAAAGGAGATAACTAGTCATTTATTCACGGCCGTTCTCAATAGAGTTGGATTGAACTTATTAAATCAAAATATATTTTATTGCCAAAAAAACAGCTCAATATTCATTGACAAAGCAAGTTAACTGAAATTCAAACAATTATAAAAATTATACCCATGTACATAAGTTATAAAAAATACCTACAAAATGACACAAAAAATTAACAAATATATGAACAAACAAAACCTAAACTAGTCCGTTGTATTATATTGTCAGTATAGTCAAAAGAAATATAAAACATACATTGAAAAATAGGCTGTATTCAGGATGAGGAAAACCACCTATACAAAATATTATTTCTTCAAACAACTTTTTAAAAAAACGTTTGCTGAATAAAAGTGAATATTGCAACCATCTATGCGCCGTCAAGTTTAGGGTTGAACGGGGGCGCGCAACAGAAAACGAAAGTACCGAAACCGAAGAGGAGACAAGAGAATGACGGACTAGACCAGAGAAGATGGTCCCTTAGACGCTTGTCTGCCATTGTTCATTATTCAATTTTTATTTTTATTTTGTATGAAACTGATTGTTCAATCCAATTTGTGTTTAGTTTGTGTGTCAAGGAGCATTCACAGGTCAAATTTTTATTTTGGAACGATGTGAGGGTTATTGGTCTGAAGGATTTGGGGTCTGCCCCCCCATCCTTCCTGCCTGCCTTTGGAATGAAAGAGAGACTCTTGCCCTTCTCCATATTTGAGGTAAGTATATGTATATCCCATCGCCATACTGCTTCTGGTTATATCTACAAGGTGCGGCATGATCTCTTTTTTTCCTCTTTTTAAGAGTTCAATTATTTATTCAAGTATTTTTTTCATTTTTATGATTTTTTGTTTGTTTATAACACTTTTTATAACATGTGCAATGTTCATGTATTTAACAAAAATCGTTTCATGCTGCTTACAGCATTTACCCAGTTGCTTACAACACAGATAAAGAGTAAATTAAAACCTAGAAAAATTATGTACTGTCTTTTGTGCTGCAATTTTAATTTTTAAATTCAGGACGTGCATTAGGGCCTTGTTGAATGTACTAACATTTCCCTACCCTGACGAGCGAATATTCTACCAAACAAAGGAAAGAGATATTGGCTCAAAATAACAACTATAGCTGGGTAGCATCCCGTATGGGACCTCAGTACCTGTCGTGAAACTGGCTAACAAAAAAACTCTTCAGTGTTGAATATAGGTAGTGTTTATTGAATTTAGTGTGTGGAATTAAAATGTTAGCACAAGAATAGAGACGTTACCTAATTTAAAGTTTTATTGACTTAAATTATTGAATTAATGACTCACAATTATTATTAAAATGACACAGTATGTTTCGATTTTTGAGGAATTGAGATCGGGGGTTTCTCTGCCTTGCTCTTCAATTCCAGGACGAGAACGGTACGATTTACTTCATTAATAAAGTAGACGTTACCCACGATCTCATGCACGCAGGTGGTAGACAATACTAAACAAAACAAAATTTTTATTTGCAACTTCAATGCCAAATTGATTCGCAGTTCGAAACTGGATACGGATTCAAAAATGAGATGGGCTCTATTTACCATCTGTGTACTGTTAAAGGCTTCTTCACAAAAAGACCCAACAGAAAATGGACCTGAATATTTCGGCCTACTTTCTACATAAAATAAGACATTTTTGGAAACATCTCAGTTGTTCTCAGAGCTCTGAGAGCCTAAAGTCAAACTGAACCAAGGTTTAGCGAAAAATGTTTCTCGCCGCTTAAATCTTACAAAAAACGCGTGAAGAAGAATTTCGAAACTAACTGGACAAGAATCTCATATAGATAACATAAACAAACCAAAAATGCTAGATCAAACCAACCATCATACCAACAAAAAACAAAGTAGTGAAGAAGAAGCCTGCATAGAGATGAAAAACGAACTGTAAAGATTGAACAGAAATGAATCAAATACTAAGAAATGAACAATAATACAAAACACTTTCGAAAAATACAGAGAAGAGCGAAAATGCTTGAAATGCCGAAACCAAGATACAAATCAAATCAAATCAAATCAAAAACAGCTTTATTGAATAAAGACCAATACAATCTTATCAACAAAACACAACAATACAAATTTTTAATAGGTATAGGAAACTGTATGAGTATTCAAAAATTGTGCGTAGGATTGAATTCATACTAATATGGAAAGGTCGAGTGGGTAGTCAGAAACAGGAAAATACCAGTGGCGTACACGCGATCGACCTATGAATGGGGAACCATACGAAAATATACAAAACTGTATGATTACTCAAAAACTGTACATGGGAAACTGTATGATTATTCATAACCTGTACATAGGATGGAATTCATACTAACATGGAAAGAATGAGGGGATAGTCAGAAAAAGGAAAACACCAGTGGCGTACACTCGATCGACCTACGAATGGAGAGCCATACGAAAATATCGAGAACTGTATGATTATTCAAAAACTTCAGGTACTAAATAAATAAACATAAAACAAACATGGTATGATCAATGGTATGATACTAAACAAACACTAGTAGTCTATATAGTTGAAAGAAATATAGAAAGTCAAGCAAAAACAGGTAAGTAATAATAAATTTGGTTGAAGTTTAAGACAATAAATTAACATTGGTGAGGCAAAGTCAAACGAAGTAAAAGTCAATAAACGTTAGTTTTGGGGAGTCATTGAAAAGTTCCGCGATTGAATATTAAGCTTTCCCAACCAATAAATCTTTTACTTAAATTTTGAAGCACTTCCTATTCTGAATGTTTCTTATATACAAAGGCAGATGGTTGAAAAGTGTTTTGCTGTTATAAATTATAGATTTCTTTGTGAGGGTCGAAAAGGGAATGGGGAGCGAAACTACATGAGATGAACGGGTGACTTAAAGCCCCCGTAATTGCAATCTCATCCTTATACTTACTGTTGATTAGGCCAACAGTTTCACATATAAATATACATGCGAGAGCTAAGATTTTCTGTGAAACAAACAAGGGTTTGCCAGATTGCCTGGGACCAACCCCACACATTGACCTTATTGCGCATTTTTTGCAGAACGAAAGCCAGAGTGAAAAGTTGATCAGAACAGGATCCCCAGAAACAGATTCCGTAACGTAGATGAGACTCAACCAACGCAAAATACACATTCCTCGCAGTAGACGAATCCAACTCTCGAGAATACAATAATTATTGATGAATTCAAAAACAATAAATTACTTGAAGAAGTTGGAGTGACAGCTAAAATGCTGGAGGCTACCTATCTTAAGAAGATCTCTACAAATACTTTCATACTTTTGTTACCTCTAAATATAATAGACCTTACTCTAATATCTATAAAAATGCAACAAAATAGCAGAATAGCATGTCTCCTCGGATATATCTATGTCCGACCACAAGTGGATCTGCTTCAAACTGCTGTTTGAGTCACCAAAAATTGTACACCGTTTAAAAATCCACGGAAAAAAAAATTGTTAGTGCTAAAATTTAAAGTCACCTTTATCCCTAAACCTGGGAAGGCCGACTACTCTCATTCAAAATCAAACAGACCGATTAGTCTAACTTCATTCCTGAAATATTCATGAAAAGCCTCGAAAAACTATGCGACAGATACATTAGGAATGTGCATTTACCAATGCAAGCGATACCCCCTAGTCAACGCACCTACCAACCAGGGAAATTAACGAAGACTGCACTGCACTTAGTCAAACGCCAAATTGTGATACAAGCATGAAATTTGGCATAGTTATAAAAGATGATATTTCAAGAGATACCGATACCGCCCTTTTTCCAAAATGGCGGACAAAAATGTCTTAAATTTTAGATTTTTTTTTAAATGGGCGATATTATACTCTATACTATAGAATTCGAAGAGGGAAAAGTCAACTAAAATATTTCCAGGTTGATATGACCTTTACCGACCTTGAAAATTGCTATATTATTTAGAAAATAGAAATGTTTCCAGACTTTGCATTAAAAAAATTTCAATCTGCTACATTGAGAGAATTTGTAGCAAAAAAAAATTAATACCATTTGAGAAGTATAAAAAACGTGTTTTCTGAAATTGAAGATGTCTATGACGATCATGGGCCTACCCTGACGAGCGAATATCCTACCAAACAAAGGAAAC